TCACGTTTTTTCATGGCGTGTGACTATAGACGGGGGTTTTCATTGTTAATAGGATTTCTTTGGATCTTTTATACAGCTCGTGACTACACTTTACAATTCACTATTGCACACGCACAGGTGTCCACAGTCACTAAACAACTAACCGTTGTTTTACAGCAGCTTCAAAAAGCTGACGTTCCTTTTCCTCTGGGTTCCTGAACTATCCCCGTGCCTCAGCTACTAGCATCTCACCTCAACAGCTCACAAGGACAGAACCGCAGCAGTTCTCTAACTTACTAACCAACTTGCCCTCCTTATAAATTCTCGTCACGGACAGCACAGAAAGCACCGTCCCTCTGTTGCTGTTGCCTAGTAACGACCTTTCTATAGTTGCTTATTTCGCAACTGTTGCCTAACAATGGACGCTACATGCTACATATTATCTTCATGTGTTAAGATATCGTAGTAGAACATTTTGCTACCCGTGCGAGTATCGGAACATGACATTCTGATTACTGGAGTAATACCACGTAAAACTCGACAAAGTCACGTGGTTGAACAAGATCATCTTTGAGAAATGACAGGGCTCGAGGACTCGATTCCTCTGGCTCAGGATAGGGACAGTGGCTGGCTCCTGTGAGCCCGGTAATGCTGAGACTTCCTGGAGTAGCTGAGCAACTGTTGGCTTCTCATGAAGGAACCAACTCCATTGAGGCAGTTAAATAGATTAAACAAAACGTTAACAGTACAACTATACAATGCAAGGGCGAGTTCCACAGCAGGAATAATGAAAGAGAAGTTTGAACTTTCCTCTGTGATTAAATTCGTATTATGCAACTATTCACCCCTAGTTTTTATTTATTCAAGAAAGCGAGATATCAAAATTATATACACAGTGAATAAATTCTTCACTCATCGGTGTTATTACATATTCTAAAAGATAACTAATATATACATTGTTTATTATATATAAATTGGGGGCACGGGGTAGTATAGTTGGTTGAGGCACTATGCTACCAGCCGGAAGGTCGCGGGTTCCATTCCCGATGAGTTCATTAGATTTTTCAATTGATCTAATCCTTCCAGCCGCACTGTGGCCCCGGGGTGGCCTCAGCCTCTAACAGAAATGAGTACCAAGAATCTTCCTGGAGATAAAGGGCGCCCGGCCGGCTCATATTGCTATCAACCTCACCGCCACTTGTGAGCCGATTGTCTAGAAAACATGGGAGCATCTGCGTCTCATAACATTATTTCCCTCCACGGCCTGTTACAGGGAGAGGCTTCGCAACTTTTAATATATATAATTATTTAATTAAAATTATTTAAAGTCGTGTTGTAACATAACACTACATTAAAAGAATAAAACAAATTTTATTTCAACACACACTAAATTTAATCACGAATTTCTCGCGTTTTCCGATTCGTAATTTTGAAGATTTTCTTGAAACAATTTATTTTTCAATGGTGAATAAAAGGCGTGGGAAATAATACTGTCAATTATATTATCATTAAATATATGTTTTTATGTATTTAGACCTATAATTCAGGTTGGAAAATTTTCTTTCAATCGTTGTCGACGATAAGATTTTTATATAATTTTCGCGTGTTTATGGAAAAAATTGTTGATTGTGTGGTAAGCTTCGCGTCTGACCGGAATATTGGAATTCGAAAATGTAGCGTGACATCCTTGTGTTTAATAGTTTCGAAAACCATAATTGTTACGGAGAAAAATATTAGACAAGAAATGCATCTTGATCTCCTTTACAGTTTCTGTTAAGAATATTTTTGGCTCCGATAAATATTAAGTGACTTATGCTCTCAGTAAATGGATGTAGGTCTTCATATGAGTGCCCTTAACTAGTCTCAGAGAATAACCCTGCAGATTTTGTTACATCTTGCCAATAATAAATTTAATGAAAATCCATTCGCCGATTCAGGGATTATTTCATGCATAAGGACAGACATTAGGACTGTCGAAGAGAAATTAGTTGACGCTCCACAATAATGCAAAAGCGCCAAAAAAGGAAAAGTAGGCGCTTTATAAATTCTGATTAATCGTGTTAAAAAAATTATTATTTTAAATATGTCTAATGATTTTAGTGTTCCATTTTAAGGCATGCGCTCTGATCACATTTGTGAAATGATCTGCAATTCTGCAGACTCTTTATCATACTCGAGATGCACTTCACTATTGCTTTACAGAATTTGTCTCGGAGCTTCAATTTTTCTCAAGTTTCTCGCGTTGTAATAATTCAGCTGCATTCAATTTCATGTTGACACACACTGCTCTCAATTAATTTTATTCTGAAGAACATGGTACGTAAGCTACAGATTAATGCATCACTAAATATTCGCAGCGCAGTCTAACTCTTCGAATTCAGGAACACGTAGTCTTATAATTTAAATTTTAAGTAAGAAACTAATAATATATTTCATATATGGAAGTTAATGCATTTCTTATTAAGTACAAGGATAAGGATATTCCATTAAACAACTTCACATTTTGCTCAAATTATCGGAAGGGCTAAGAAAGTACATAACTCGATGTTAACCATAAAATACGCAAATTGCGCAAACCATCGGAAATGAACTGCGAATTTAATAAGACTTCTTACATCCGCACACAAATTCTCAGAGTTTCTCCCACCCCCTCCGCCCCCCTTCTCCATCTCCTACGAGTGTGAGTGCGTCGCTCTTTCAGCACAGTCAACATCATGATCGCGAGACGTGGCGGGCACGTCTGTCTCATGGCCCGTCCCTGTATTTCAGCGGGCCAGAAACCAGTATATGCCTACCTCCTCGGCCGAACATGTCGACCTACAGGCTGCAGGAGGAATGGACGGCACTTGTCTTGTTGAGGCCTCGTTCTGATTTGCCCACTTCTTCTTCTCTTCTGGTCTTCCTTCTTTTTCTCATGCTGAACCGTACGCCACTGATCGCCCGCCTGCTCGCATGCACGCCACTGCATGGCCTNTTTGCAATTTTTAAACTCTGTTCTCATAGAACCGAGTTCCATATGTCACATGGACGCAGGCCTCAGTTTTTTGCTCGAGGTGCATGGCGGATTGAGAGTGCGTCCTTCTGCATGAGTGGTTAGTGTGTCTGGACGCAGCCTCTAAAGCGTCGTGTTGAGTGGACTCAGCTAGCCGGACCTGTCACTTCTCCTAAGCATGCACGTGTATCTGTGTGTAGCTTTGCTGCGGTCATAACACCTGAGGCCCAAGTTTAACACATTCTTCTTTCACTGTCTTTCTTTCGATTCTACTTTCCTCTTCTTCTGTCTTTGTAAGGTTAAGCATGTGGGGAGTGAGAAATAGTCACGCCTAGAAAGTAGAGTAGAGAGAGTGCCTGCAGCAAGACACCGTGTAGTTTGGTGCATATTAGCAGAGATTGCTCTGAACACTGGTTGTCGAAGGCCGCTTAGTTTGCATGTAAGTGCCGTGCTGCGCGGCTCAAGCGAAGCGGTCCCATAAACTGTACTGTTTTGGGGGTTATTTGGTTAATTACTCAATAAGGGAATTTCGTTATGCTGAAAATGTTTAAATGAAACAGTGATATATTCGCATGTCTCGAACAAGGGAGGAGCCAATTGTTTCTTGATGCTTTGTTTTCAGAAAGAAACACGTAAGTAAAGACTGTTGAACCATCACCCATACGCCTAAACAAGACTGTTCTTTCACAGGTTACTTCGCAGTTGCCATGTCCCAGTTCGGTATTACACAGACCACTTATATTAATACAGGAGATAAATATGATTCCTGTTTCCGTGGGTAGCCTTATTAAAGTTAAACATGTTTGACTGATGTGGAAATTCAACGGTAGCAAGTCCCATAACATGACAGCGATGTTGATATCAACGGTAACAGGTTTGTGGGGAAAGTGGTGTACTTTAATAATATACTGACAAAACTGTTGTTACCTTCTCAATTCGGAACGCATATAAACAGTCATTCGTAACTTCTTTTCGTAATGAAGTATTAAAACGATGCCATAACAAATTAATTTCCTTCAGTTATTTGAAGAGCATACCTTCTGGTCTTCTCCGGTACCCTTTCGTTTTCTATCCTCAAATGCAGTCGTTTCCAACATAATCCCTGAGGCGGTTAAGTCTTGCTTCCTTTCCAAATTTCGTTTGGAAAAGTTTGTTGAACTGAAGCGTGCAGTGCGCTACTATGAGACCGAAGCCTGACAGAAATGCATTTTCAAATCGTTCCTCAACACAAGCCAGCTTCAGCCACGCCACGAGGTGGTGAACCTTGATCTTCTGCTCCACTATCGTCTAGTAGTTCCTATTTCAAATTATTTGAGATATTCATTTAAATAAGTAGCATTAAATACAGTTATATTTTATTAGAGTATTAACCCCTCACTTCACTCTATCATCTCACATAAATTTGCTTCTTCCTCTTCTGTCTTTTCAAGTAATTTCATTCGACCATATTCGATGTTCAGTAAATCGCCTCTGATGATGGTAACATCACAGTGCTCCGACCTCCCCACTGAAGCATAAACAATGTAGGCAGACGTCTTTGCCTCAGGTAGGGTTCGAACAAGTGTTCCTTGTGTTTAGTCCGTCGAGAATCATTTACACGGTACTTTAGCGAGAACAGAATTAAATTTTAGACATAATGCACGATCAATATGACAAAGTGGAAAGAACAATTGCTCCTCTCTGTCCAGAAGAAAAAATTGTTTTTAATGATTGATTCGTGAGGAGTGGGCCGTTGTTAAGAAGATTCACGCGACTAGAAAATGTGGAATAGACGAAACTTTCGAAAGAAGGCTATGGGACGATGGCTAATAGGATTATTGTGGCGGCAAGGTGATGGGACCATCTGCAAGGGTTCAGTTTCAGTTGTCTGGACTCAAAAGCCAAACTTCGAACATAAACAGAACACGTTCATACCATATTTCTCCCCGCGAGGTTAATATTCTTGTCGATTATACAGCATAGTCCTGTTGAGAATGGAGAAGTTCACTGTTTCGTGATATATCGCTTATATGGTGTGTCTGCTTCCTAGAAGCATCAGCGCGGGGCGACGCCTGAGTCCGCTGTCCACGAGGAAGAACTCAACGACATACAGGTCCGTATGCACTCCAATCGCTCTCCACCAAGCGAGCCCACTCCGGACCGCCTCTCTCGGGCCAGTCTCAACCAGAGCAACATGACAGGGGGCGTCGCGACGACAGCAACGGGAGGCACAGGTGCTGGTGGTGCTTCGCTTGTTTCCATCAGCAAGCCCAACTCAACCACATCTTCCACTATGACTGCATCTGTGGTGGTCAATCTTCCAGCGTCTTACCCTGGGTCTGAGGTGGAACCGGCGTCCCCCGTCTCTCCCGGAGCGTCCCCCTCCACATCGCCTGACCAGCAGCCGGAGGTCCGCATCTCCTCATTGTAACTCTCCCCTAATGTAATATCTCACATCGGGCCTTCAGATAAGTATTGAACACCAAGGCATCGACGCGTGCATACACGAGTTCAGCGAACCCATCATTCCGTAGCGGACAGGAAGTGATCAAATTGTGATATAAGGTACTCGTTAGGCGGTGGAAGAAATCAGAGAAACAGAAGGAGTTGCTTTGTGTAGTTGACGACTCAGATTTTGTTGTTGAACCTCCCTGACAAAACAAGAAAATTCCATAACTAGATTGCTTTTCGGTGAGACATGGGGCTCTCATGGCGGTAAGGCTCACGATTAGAGTCCTCGGGGATGTGAAGCCGTGTATGTCTAACGACTCCATCTTTACCCTGAAGACAGAGGCAAGTTCCTCCGAACTGGCCGTACTTACTTACCAGACTACACGACGTCACATCCCAGAAGACAGCTTTCAGAACGTTCCAACGTTATCCTCCTTCGGAGCTGAAGAAAGTGTACCATAATCCTGAAGAAGGCAAAAAGTTTTCGGTCAGGGAAACCATCGGATTACTTCAAGAGACGGAAGTAGCCATGGCTGTTGTTTAATTATTAGTAAGCAAACGTCGTGACGTGAAACAAATGACTTCACATGTAATCAATTTGTCTGTTGCTGTTGTTGATGTTGTTGTTGTTGTTGTTATATGTTCTCTTAATTTTCTAGTTTTAAGCTGTTTCAGGGGAGAGAAAATATTTCTTTTTGTCAAGGTGTAGATTTTTCTTCATAAAAGTCTTTGTCTCCCAGAAAACATTTTTTGTGAGTTGACACAAATTTTAATGTTACGCTTTACTTGCATGCAGACACTTTTCTTAACCGGACAAAATAAAGCATTACAACTGGAACTTCTGCAACCAGTACAGGTTACAAAATGGCGAGTTTCTGAATGAAAGCAGCCCACGTTTCCCCTTTTTTATCCACGTATTTAGCTCCTCGTTATGACCGATACAGATCTAAGCAGAATTATTTGAAGGAGGCCTTCTGGTTGGATGGCCGTCGACTCATGATTTCCGACTGGAATTCCTTTATAGTGATAGAGTGGTAACTTTGCTCTTGACAAATTTCATAATGCCCGCTGTTACGCAATTTATGAAATCAGTCAAGTTAATGATTATTTATTTATTTATTTTCACATTTTAGTTAAAAGTAGCCCTGGAATGCATTTGTATATTATCAACAGGCTAAATTAAATGTAACATGAATACTATGGTACAGACTGCACGCGTTAGTAATAACAGGCCACTTCTACCCTTCTCTTTCCGTGCTCGGTGGATCAGTCGTCGAGAATATTCACCAAATTATGATGAAATAACATATTAGTGATTTCAGAAATAATCTTAAAATGACACTTTTTGTGGTAATGATTGTTAAAATATATATGCATCAACTTTTTTCCCGTGACTATAGATAAATTATTTTAAAATTTTATATATTGTTTCATAAAAGCCCCAAATGTATGCAAGCCATCTCTTCATTACCTTCAATACATAAATGATTACATGATTTATGATCTTACATGTGACTAATTATGTTAATATAGTGAATTTTAAAATCACCTTCCAAAACAGACCCTTTTAGGGAAATGTAAATTATATTGTGTAAGATTTGAGGCTTTCACGGCGGTGACTATGAAGAAAGCAGTCTTCTGGGATTTGGCACCGTGTATATGTGGTGTTAACCGACGTTTCGGAGGAACGTCGTTTAACACCACATATACACGGTGCCAAATCCCAGAAGACTGCTTTCTTTGTAAATTATATTACCTTCTTTTGAACTATTTTCAATGCTTGTTACATATTTATCCTCGTATGATTATAAATTTAAATGTATAAGTATTAAAAATAACATCTAGGAAATGTTTACAGTTTGATAATGAGAACAAATTAATATTATAAAATTTCGGTGTTTTAATAATTATATCACATTTATCATTCATGATGCTCGCAAGCAAATTATTCTTTGTGTTTTATAGAAAGAAACAGCAAAGTTTGAATAATATAATTATCTCCACTTCTTCTTTGGGTGTACCCACAGCACTGACATGTATGCCTATTCCAAAGATGAACAGATGCCCCAAAATGAAGAAAATGACGACCCAAGACTGAGTCTGTTCCACTGTCGCCCCAAGTGCATTGCACAGATTGTTTTGCCTTGGGCGCCATCTTATCCAGAGTACGTTAATTCTCCATCCAACAATAGGCAGACTGAAAAGTTCCAAGTACAATGACCGAAACACACATTTCTATGCTCAGACTTGCACCCGTGTTCCTACACTGGATACCAACTTGTATAATTCTTGCACTTTTTTAAGGAAATCTCTTATCTATTGCTTTTTACTATTGACATAAATCATTCCTTATATTTGTTGAAAGTTAGGCCACTCCATAGCTCAAGCGGTTAGTCGCTGGCTTCCCACCGTGGCGACCCGCGTTCGATCCCGGGTCTGATGAAGTTGGATTTGTGGTGGACAAAGTGGGGCTGGAGCGGGTTTTCTCCGAGTACTTCGGTTTCCCCTGCCAAACTTCATTCCACCAAATTCTCCATCATCATAATCACCCGGGGAAGGTACAATAGGCCATCAGTGGCCGCCGGGCCGAGTGGACCCAGCTGGCCTCCACCCCCCCCCCCACTAGCGAATTAAAACTTTTTGTTGAAAGTTTGATATTAAAGTAGTTTTTAAAGAGTGTCTTAACGAAGCGAAAGGAAGAGATATTTTGGTTTCAGTATCACGTCAAGTGGCTTATATACATATACAGCTTCCGCGAAGTAAAAATAACTACAGAAACCCGGTCACTATTCAATGTAGACATTTATCAAATCGTCCTCTTTTGTCAGAGTAGTTTGAATTATTTGGTGTTTAACACGTGACCCATTTTCAGTTATTTGGGACAAGTTATTCCACCTTTAAGCTTTATGGAAGTATGTAAGTTGTGTAAATTTACATAATAAATTATGCGTTATTTAAATTATTTTTTACATGAACATAAAATTATAGTAATTTGTTCAACTCATACTTAGGCTGTAACTAAGAGAGAATAAAGTTAGTTCGTACGCGTGAACATGCTTCTGATGTTAGCCGACAGATTGCGATACCAAAATATGAATGGTAGGTTATGGTTGGCAGATCTGCATACTAATTGGCGTGCTGCAACAGGTATTTGTCTATTCTTGGCGTCCCGCTTGTAGCTGGCTTACGGCAATTCTACGAATGTAATAAATTACTACTTTGTTGACTGTCCGGTGTTCTTTTCGCCTGAACCTGCTGAGTAGGCGGCAGCTGTGTCATATAGCAGTGGCATTAGTCACGTAGTCCCAGGGATTATTATGATTTTCTAGGGCCATTGATTGAAGCATGACTGTCTGGACAAACTTCCGGTGAACTCTATAACCTAAATGACACGGAAGTGAGTGATGCTATTTTGAATTTGTTGCATTACTTCACAATGTTAGTAACAATCGTCTGGCTGTGGTAAAACAAGTCCAGGCCAGATGTGTTGCTCACCAGCAACAGTTTCGTTCCCACAGCCATGCGAAAGCAGCAGAACTCCATTGCAATGGTCGCCACAGAAGTTAAAAGAGTGAATCAATCGAATCGAGTCTTATATTACGACTGACGGTCTGTCGGCCAGCCTATTTCGAAATAAAGCACCCATCTGACGCTTACAATCAGATTTTTATCACTGTCAGACAATTGCGGGTTTGTTGGTGTGGACCGCTCTCTCTGACGAGAGGGCGGGTCTGTCGTTTATTATTGATGCTGAACCTCTTCAGCGCAGTCGTTCTCGGATCCGAGTCCAGAAGGAATCTTTTAATTACAAACAATGCAGCCGTTTGTGAAAGTTTCGTCATTCGCTACATTTCGGAGTCTGGAGGGTAGAAAATTTTCTGCAGTCCGTAAATAGTTGATCGTGCTGGAGGCTGAATGTCACAGAGTTATCGCCTCATCGCCATCTTGTTCCCAGGTATACAAGCATACAAGTCACCTTTGTTGCCTTCCAGTAGATCATTCCCTTCATAATAAAAATTCTTTACTGTATTGTTAGAGCCAGGATACTTCAGAGGACACAGCGACTGAGGCTCTGGAAGACCGGAGGAAACGGGTTCCATTACCGCAGAGGCAGAATATTTGTTTCCTCTCCCCAGCGTCCCGACCGGTTCTGGAGTCGCCGCTGTCTCTGATTCGTGCGTACTGGAAGTTCTTTCCCTCGGGTAAATCTACCGGGTCGTGAAGCTGAAAACGTACATATAGTACCGATGTTAACTTTACGTGGAGTGCCACTTTCACCCCTCCAAACGTCTTCATGGTTCGGTACATAATTGAGTACATAGACAGCTTTACTGTAATGTTAGGTTCAGTAGGCTTTGCAACCGCTAGAGGGTTGTTCTGAAACACTAACATGAACATGAAACAGTAAGTGAAATGGATAAAATTGCTTATTTCATATTTCAGTCAACACAACAATTTATAAATAGTATACAGATGGCCTATTTATATGAAGGTTGTATACCTGAGACATAACATGTTTCGACACCTAATGGGTCATCATCAGGTGCTAATTTATCTTAAGTACTGAGCTTACACCTAATATGCATCCATCTTGCAGGGCTATTCTTTGTTTTGATATTTAACTTGTTACAAGGTCCTCAGAGTTGAAATTAGAATGAACTGATCAAAACTGTTATTTTAAATTATTAAAATCAAATTTAAGGTGAGGATATATATTATTCCTCGGTTATGCTGATTGTGTATTCTAGTTCTTCTTAGGGAATGTGGATTCTTGAGTGGAGTACTCACTCTTTGGTTGTTGTGTCGGTATGTTGTTATTGTTGTTGTTGTTGTTGTTGTTGTTGTTGTTGTTGTTGCGACGTTATTTTCTTGATGTCTGAAGTGTTCCGGCTGGCTTGAGGTTGATTGTCTGGGTACAGTCTGAATGGAAATTACTACCAATGCTACTACTACTACCACTGCTAATCACTTCTATATACTGACAGTGTTGCTGCATAAACCCACCTACATGGGAGGCCCTTTAATATATGTCAATTAACTGCACCAGTATTAGAATTACTTAGTACCCTTTCTTGTTAATGTCCTTCCTGTTAATTACAAATGTGTACTCTAAAAGACTCTTGTGATGATGAATTATACTTGGAATTGCTGGGTTTCAGGACTTTGTCCGTGGCCTAGTGTTCCAAACAGAACATTGTGCCTGGAAACTGGATCTGCCACCATCCTCAGATGGAAAGGTGGAGAGGAGGCTAGTATTTGCTAGTCAGATGAATCTCGTTATCAGAAGAGGTTTTCAATTTTCAAGGAAGACCGATAGTTTGTTATACATTTTCGTGTTCATTCGTTTTGGGGTTCCATTTATCTTCCACAGAGGGCATTAGCAGCAGGCGAGTATTGTAAATCATGCATGAACATCACCAGATGAGATGGGGCAGGCAATCCACACATCTTATACCCCACTTCCTTTGGAAAAATCAAAATTAAAAGACCAGAAGGAATTGTACCAAATATTATCACTCAAGACTGAAAACTTTAAAATATTTTATTCTTCTTTCATGCATGCTTTTTGAGTACTCAACACAAGTGGAGTTACACGGCTTGAACACAAGCTAGTCAGCAAATTTTCTGGCTGCTCTTCTTTGGAAAACTGGCTGGCCCTGTCCTCGGAAAAAAAGAATCGTGGTGATGCCCTTCGTAGCATGTAAATATTCTTCCACATCGTTGTGACTTCGTTTCTGTCTCCGTCTTTTAGGTGTCAATATGTATTCACAGTTTGTACTACAAAGTTATCTGCTCTTGACAGAACATGAGCAGAGATGCATATTTGGCCTAGGCGTA